GAAGTATACTGTTGCTTAAGTTAGGGACAGTAATTGCATACAAATTGAAGTGTGTGTCAAAGATGTAAATTTTTTTTAAGTGAGAGAATGAGCAAGATGGTAATGCTGTTTTTTCTCTTGATTTTTTTCTTTTGATATCCATGTTCAAGTTTAGAGATGTTTTATAGAAAACTCTGGTACATATATAGCATTAGATTCTTTGGGTTTCTTGGTTGGCAATCTACTGTGGCTTTTTTGCTTGTTAGATATGAATCTGCAGTTAAATGCTTTAAGGACAAAATTTATCCATAAAATGGGGCTCCTTGGTGTGCAAGGGGTTAAGTCTTGGCATTGTCAAGCTGTTGGCAGCCACTGCAGCATGAGTTTGATCTGGCCTAGGAGCTTAACCACATCTGCAGCAGGCTCTCCTGTCTCTCACCTGCTGCTCCCCTCAGCAGTGTATCTAAAGCACTCAGAAATCCACTAGTCCCTTGCTCTTGTATACATAGATAGGTAAAAATAAATCTTAAAGAATACTGTCTGTAATTGAAAAAGCATAGAACAAAAGAACCAGATACTGAGTTTTTTTTTTTTTTTTTAAAGATTTATTTATTTGTGCATACGGAACTGGGGTACAGGCCAGAGGCTCAGGGGCGGCGAAAGGCTTCACCAGAGACAGAGTGGGGAGCAAACAGGCAGATCATCGAAGTACACTGCTGAGGGGAGCAGTGGGCGGGCCAGGAGAGGTCTGCCACACCATGTGGTCACCTCTGGGGCAGGCGGGAATCGAACTCATGCAGAAGTGGCTTTAGCTTCTCAGTGCTGTGCTTTAACCTGCTGCGCCACCAGGGAGGGCCCAGATACTGAGTTTTTATGGAGTTGATTCACTGTTACATAACACAAAATGTATATAACTCTAAATTGTATACCTTTTAAAATGTTATGTAACATTTCAAATAAACTTTCACTTTATACTTTTAAGATATAACTTGCATATAACAAGGCTCATAGTTGCTAGTGTAAGTGCTTGAAAATTTATATAGATGTTTAAATCCCTGTAATCACAACAGTTGACATTAATTATCTGGCATCCCACATAAGTTATTTCTAGCAGCTTACCCCACTAATCAGTGCCTTTCCTAAAGGTAACATTATTCTGACATCTGTCACAATAAAAAGTTTTACATTTCTTGAATGTCATATAAACAATTATGTAGTATGAATTCTTTGTTTCAAGTTTTATTGAGATATAGTTGACAGAATGTTTTATAATTTTAAGGTGCACAAGGGATGCAGCATGTACCCTTAAAACTGATTTCCTTTCAGCAGTTTCGAGATTCATCCATGTGTTAAAAGTGGCTGCATCAGTTCTTTTTCATGTCTGTGTCTTATTCTATTGTATGGAAAATAGTTTACTGGGCCTCCCTAGTAGTGCAGGGGTAATGCCTCAGCACTATCAAACTAACCCCAGCCACTGCAGCATGAGTTCAGTCCTCAGCCAGGCAGGTGACCCGCATGGTGCAGAAGACCTCTCCTGTCTTACCTGCTGCTCCCCTCAGCAGTGTTTCTCAGAAGAGCTACCTGTCTGCTCCCCACTCTGACTCATCTCCCCTTGTCACACTTTTGGCCTACACTTTCCTTTGCAAAAATCAATCAATGAATCTTAAAAAAGGAAATATTTATTTCTGTGTTTTTCTCCTTAACAAGTAATTGTATGATTCTAGTATATGTAAAACTACATTTGATTTTAGCATTTGACATATCCTGTGCTCTTACTAACTTATTTAGCTTATTTTATTATAATTATATTTAGTCTTTTTGATTGTATATATCTATTGTGTCCTCCTCGGGATGCAAATTTTATTTTTTATGCCTTTTATTTCTTTTTCTTGCCCTAAAAGCCCTAGGATTCTCAATATGGTATTGAGTAGATGACATTCTTGTCTTATTCATGACATTTTGACTTTGTGTGTCGGGGGAAAATATGATAGCGCTGTATGTACATATATGTTTTTATATGTGTCATCAAAATGTACTTAAAGATTACGAGTGGGTATTACATTTTACTTATTGGAATAATATGTAGATTGCTTGTACACATTATGTCCTTATATATCAGTGGTTTTGATTTGCTAATACTTTGTGTACAAGTTTTGCAGTTATGTTCATGATGTTGACCTTTAATTCTTTTTCTTAGTAATATCTTTATCATATTTTGTTGTGAAGATGTCCTGACCTCATGAAATGGTTGGGAGGTCTTCCTTTTATTTTTATAATCTGAAAGAATGCATGTAGTTGTTATATATGTTCATTGTATATTTGAAAGAATTCTCCAATGAATTATTTGCTACTGGAGTTTTTTCAATAGTTACTATTCAATTCAGAGTTTTTAGTTGTCTTGCTTCAGTTTTGTTCAGTGGTATTCTTCAGGTAATTTGTGGTATTCTTCAGGTAATTTGTCTGTTTTAACAAAATTTTCAAATATATTACAGTAAAGTTGCCTGTAATGTCCTTAGTATTTCTTTAATGTCTGTAAATTTTCTAATTAGATCCCTTTTTCATTTTTTGTATGTTGTATATTCTTTTTTTTCTTATTGAATCTTAGTAAGGGTTGTCTATTCTATTGAATTTTCAAATAATAAACTTCTGGCTTTGATTCTCTGTTTCACACCTGCTTTTTATTTTGATTTAAAAAATTTTTCTACCTTTCCTGTATTAACTTCCTATTTTTGTATTTTTATAAAAATGGCTTCTTAAACATTTATTTTTCATGTTATTTCTACTTGTAACCATTAAGAGAGATACAGTTTTATTTCCACTTGTAACCATTAAGAGAGATATGGTTTTATATTCATTGTCATTTAGATAAAAGTCTCCAATTTTCATTGTGATTTTGCATATTTGACTCATGAATTACTAAGGATTGTATTTCTTAATTTCCAAGCATTTGGGAGAATTTGAAGTTATATTTCAGTAATTTTTCAGTAATTCTCTGGTGATAATAAAACACCTTTTCCAGGATTTTAATTCTTTTTATTTGTTGATTTTTCTGTTTTGACCATAAGTTAAAATTTGAAAACTACTTGAAAAGAATGCTTAATTCTGTAGTTTTTGGGTCTAATATTCTGTATTCATGTTGGAAAACTGGATTGCTCAAATCTCTTTATTATTATTATTTTTTTGTCTGCTTATTCTGTCAGTTAATGGAAAATGGTTGTTAAATCTTCCAACTATAATTGTGGATTTTTCTATTTTCCTTTTTCTTTCAGATTTTGTTTCATTTGTTTTAAAGCTATGTATGATCTTACTTGCTTTAATGTCTTGTTGATTTGACACTTTTATCAATAAAATGTCCCTCTTAATTGGAATTTTGATTTCATTTGCATTTAATTGAGATAAAATTCAAATACTATAATATTCACTCATTTAGAGTATAAAATTAAGTGACTTTTAGTGTATTCATAAAGTTGTACAGTCACAGACATTAGTTCTTAATAACACTTCAGAAGGAAATCTCTTAATCATTATAGTTACTCTTTTCTTCTCTAGCCTTTAGCAGCCCCCCCCCCCCTCGTGTGCTTTCTGTTTTGAATAATTTGACTGTTCTGGAGTTTTACTATCTGTGAAATGTACGCCAACCTCTGTGTTTGACTTCTTTCATTTAGCATAGTGTTTTCTGTGTTTACACATATGTATAACATGAATCAGCACTTTTTTTAATGGCTAAATCTTTCTGTATTGTTAGGATCTGGCACATTTTGTTTATTCATTCTTCAGTTGATGGGCATTTTGGTTGTTTCTACTTTTTGTCTGTTATAAATAATATTAGTTTGAATATTCTTGTAAGAGTTCTTGGTGAGCACATGTTTTTATTTCTCTTGGGTAAATACTTAGAAGTGGGATTGTCTGATACGGTGAATGAACAACTCGTAGAAGGTCTACCGAATGGTATTTTCCTCTGAAAAGGGGTCAGCTATTCTTTTCAGGGGGTTAGTTATTCTGCTGGTAGTTTTGATCTTGTCAAGACTTGGTTTTAGTTTTTCTTTGGTCTTTATGTTGCTATTTTGTCCTTACTCTACTAAGTCACTACTGCTGTGGAATCTCAAGCGAGAGTCTGGATTCCTCCACTCTCCTGCATTCCCCATCTAGGCACTGCTGACTTGACAGTGTCTTTCATTTTAGCATGGCTGTGCTGCTGAATACCTGCTTGGCTTCTAATTGCCCATCAGCTGTTTTTTTTTTTTGGTTAGGTTTCTTGGCATATTACCAAGAAACCTGTATTCTTTTTAGGTTTAAAAATTAACTAACCGTTGGAGAGGAATTTTCATGCAGATTTTGGGCTTTTTTCCTAGGTTCTTTGTCCGGGCTGGGGTGGGGGGTGGGGGTGTTGTACAAACAAAAAACCCATATGCCTTGTAAACCCCAACCTATAGCCTTTGCTTTCTCAATCCAGTTAGACAGCTATTAGTGATTGGGCTCTATTTCCCATTATTTATTTAGAAAGTTTCTAGAATAAAAAGAATGATTAAATGTGGAATTTGCTTTGTGGTCATTTTTTCTATTAAAGATTATAGCCCTGGAAATCTTACCTATGTTATTGCTTTCCTGTATCTTATATGTTTTGTCTAACAGTCATAGTTGGTCTTTACAGTGCTAATTCATTATACCCTGCTCCACAAATTGGAACTAGAAGTACCATATTTCATCTTGCAGCCTATGGTTTTACTATGCTTAGTGCAGCTTTGTAAATGCTGATGGCTGTTGCAAATCTTTTCAAGGATCAAACTGCTAATAGATATATCTTCTTGGAATAAAGTCACGTATTTGGTATATATCGGGGAGTTCTCTGAAAGCCAGAGTAGAAATGGAGGATCAACACTAGCCATTAAAACTCTTAAATACCTTCAAATATGATATGCTTATTTGTTCTTTGAATTGTAGTCATTGAAAAACTTTCATAGAAATGGGAATTTTTATCAGAGTCTCTTATGTTTTGTTCTTTAGGAAGATGAAGTCCTCGGTACATTCTGAAGAGGATGATTTTGTTCCAGAATTACATAGAAACGTACACCCTAGAGAGCGGCCTGATTGGGAAGAAACACTTAGTGCAATGGTAAATCAGTTTTATGTATATGTATATAACTATATTTTACTTTAATGAAGGAACTGAGGATACATTGTTCACAGAAAAAAAAAATTTTTTGTTGCTTTGTTCATTTGTTCAGGAAATCCCTATTGAGAAAATATTTTATCCAGGCACTGTTTCATACTGTGTTCAGAGAGCCCTTAACAAAACACAAATTTTTTGCCTTCTTGGAACTTGCCTTTTAATGGGGTAGGAGGAGAAGCAAATTAATTTATAATTTTGTAAGAGGTAATAAGTGCTATTGTAGAAAATTAATGCAGAATTTAATAGAATTATGGAGTGGTAGGACAGAGTGAAAGCATAGTTACTAGTTATATAAGGCAGACACAATGGCCTCTGGCAGAAGGTAGATTTTGAGCAAATGTCAGAAGAACATGAGGACCAAGTAGTTTTTCTGGGTATACGTCATTCTGGTCCATGAAAGAAATTTAAAGATGGTGGCATAGGACTAAACATAGGCTGTAAGAAATGCAAGTAGGAACATATGACTGAAATTGAATAAAGTGTGGAAAACATACAGGGAACTGAAATCAGAGAAGTTGTTTGTGTAGGTGAAGAGGTGGTTATGTAGTTTCTTGTAGTTTATTATAAGGATTTTGTTCTTTTTATTGAGTGAGATGGGAATCCATTGGATGATTGACATGTTCTGACTTAAAACTTCAAAGGAAATTTCTGTGAGTAGATAAAGGGGCAGGCAAAAGAGGATATACTTCTTTTTTGCCAGTTAGGTTACTTTATAATAGGTGAACAGTGATGCAAACTTGAAGCAAGGTGGTGGTAGATATTATAAAAAAGGTTAGATGATGAATATAGTTTTATAAATCAAGCCAACTACTTTTGCTAACGATAGACAGTGAGATATAGAGATATCAGGGATGACTTAAGGTTCTTTTGCATAATCAAGTTGAAGACTGGTGTTTATATTCACTGAGGTACTAGAAAAGTATTTTTTTTGGGATTAGGTAGAAAAATCAGCAGTGTAGTTCCTGCATGATAAGTGTGAAATATCTATTTAATCTCTAACTTTATAATTCTATTAATAAGGATAATGAAGTTACTTTTGTGAGGAATAACATTTTATGGTTCAAAACTATTATTACAAATATTGAGTAAATGTTCATTGGTCAATGTTGAGTTGCAATGAAATTTCACATATTCCATTTTTGAAAATGTGTTTTCACTCACATAAATACTGCTAAATAGAGCATGTGATTTTCATTGACTATATTCATTGCTTAAAAGACATTTTAGAAATCTTTTAGATTCTTTTCCTCATATGTGTCTTTTAGTGTAACATTACAGTACAAACTTTCAGTTGAAGATTGTGTGAAAGTTCCTCTGTTGCAAATTTAAATGGATTTGCAGTATGAAGAGTTATGTGGCACTTAGATTATGGTCTGAAAAACCCTGCCTGGACCTCTGTAGTTTGAGCTTGAAAAATACATTCACCACAAATTTATGTGGCAATATAGCTCTCTCTCTTGTTTTAATGTTTGATAGTTTGGGAACTATGCATATAGCAACTATGATTACTTGTGATTCTAACAGGATTATCACAGTGTAAAGTTTCTTCATACATGCTTGTACATGTAGGCTCAATTCATTAAGTTACATATCTCAGTAATGCAGTTTAATGTACTTAGCGGCAGTGTGAATTGATGAAAGTACAATATAGCTCTACTTATGTGGCTTCTGCAAAGCTCTGCCTTTGTAACTTGAAAGAAGCCATAGGAAATACATAAGTGAGTATAACTGTATTCCAATGAAACTTTATTTATGGACACAGATTTTTGAATTTCATGATTTTTACTTTTCTTTCTTTTTTGAAAATTTCCCCAAATATTAAATATAAAAATTACTTTTAGCTTATGGGCTATATGAAAACAAGGAGTGGGCTGGGTTAGCCCTAGTTTTTTGACCTTTGCATATTCCTGTAACTACAGCTTAAGAATTAAAATTTTCCTAAACCTTTAAGGTGGAAGATGGTTTTATTTTAATTCTCATAGTATGTTTTGCATATTTCTATCATAATCCTTAATCTTGTCATATTCTCACTACACAGCTAGAAAATAAACACATGCAAGAGACATTTAGCTTATTAACGAAGGAACTAGTCAGGTGTTATAACTGGTTCAAAGGAGAAGTCAAAGGTTCTTACATTAATAGATCAGTCATATTAAAATGGTCACAGTGGATGCAAAGCTATGTAGTTCCTTTGGACACAATTTCCATTTCTATACCATAGATAGGAATTATTTGTGCTGTCGGTTTGCTAAAAGTTAATTTTTACTCTATGGAGATGTAAAGGAGCTTAGTCAAAGAAAATCCCATATCCCTTATTGAGTCAAGTCATCCCTGCAGGTGCTAGCATTCCATTGGAAACATAATTTAGTTATCTTTTTTGCCTATTTAAAAATCTTCTACAACTCTTCTCTACAATTTTTATTGCCTCCAAAAAAATCTGCCCCAAATATATCAAATGATATAAATGTTTTTGCTTATTCTGTATAAAATACCAACTGCTAGCTACAGCAGTTCTGTACCCCAAAACTACTTCATATGTCTTTTTAAAAACTGTACATGGGAATATTTCAAGAATAGAACATATATTGGTGCACATATCAGCTGTCAATAAAACTAAAGCGTCATCATACCAAGTACTCTTCCTAACCCTAATGCCATAAAGCTAGAAATCAACACCACCACCAAAAAACCTGGAAAAACCTTATACACATGGAGATGAAACAACATGCTGCTTAATTATCGGATTAAAGAGTAAATTAAAACAGAGACCAAGATATATCTATAGACTAATGAAAATGAAGATGTAGGCTTTTAGTGTTTATGGGATGCAGCAAGATGGTATTAAAAGGAAAGATAATTGCAATTCATGCCCACATTAAGGAGCAAGAAACATCCTAAGTAAACACTATCACCCCTAAAGCAACTTCAAAGAGAGATAAACAAGATTCAGAGTTAGTAGCACAAGGAAATAATAAAAGTCAGAGCAGAAATAAATGAAATAGAAATTAAAAGGACCATACCAAAAAATCAATGAAGGTGCTACCTGATGGTGCAACAGGTTAAAGCACAGTACTGTGAAGCTATTCCAGCCACTTTAGCACAAGTTCGAGCCCCCACCAAGGAAGTGACACACATGCCATGGCATTCCTCTCCTGGCCTGCCTGCTGCTCCCCTCAGCAGTGTTATTTCAGTACATCTGCCTGTTCTGTTCTCCATTCTGCCTCTGGTGAATCCTCTCACCTACCACACCTCTAACCTGTACCCCAGGTCTGTAAATAAATCTTAAAGAAAAAAAAAAAAACCACCTAGGAATTATATTAATGATGGAGAAGAACTTTTACAAGAGAAGAGTGATGTATTATTGAAGAATTTACAAAGTCAAATAAGGAGAAAGCACTCCATGATCAAGGATGGGGAGAATAAATATAGTCATAATACTGTCATCCCTAAAGTGACACATAAAGTTAATGTAGTTTCCATCAAAATGCTAACAGTATTCTTCCAAAAAAAATCGAACAAAAATATTGAAATTTATATGGAATCATAAAAGGCCTTGAATATCATAAGGTATTCTGAGATCCTAGAACTAAATTCACTTACATAGTAATATACTTAGAACCATACAGTGGCTAAAGGAGAGTCTTTTTAATAGATGGGATTGATGGGTAGTTTGGTGGAGGGTGAGTAGGACATGGGAGAGTAAATATGTAACCACAAAATATGAAATAAGATATAAAAAAAATAGAAGCAATAAAAATGGTGCTGGGGTACCTGGAAGATTAAAGGTAAAATATGAAGCTGGAACTCTAATTCCTGAACCAAAATAAATTCCAATGGATTAAAGACTTAGATATAAGGTCTGCAACTATAAAATAGATAGGAGAAAACGCTGACTTAACCTTGCACGACATCATGATGATAATGTTTAGGAAAACTTGATTTTTATGGCACGTGAAATAAAGCAAAAATAAACAGTTGAAATTCAAATTGTTAAAGCGTTTATAAGTAGAAGAAAATAAAAGTAGATTAGAAAGACATCTTAATGAATTGGAGAATGTGTTTACATATTACATAAGCAACAAGGGTTTAATATCCAAGATATATAAAATACTTAACATAATTCAACAATAGAAAAGCAAATAAATGGACAGCAGATCACAGAGGATATTCAGAAAGCTAGTAGATACATGGAAGAACGTTCCTCGCTTCCAATAGGAGAGATGTGGGTTAGAACCATGGTGAGAGGGTTCTCATGTCCCTCAGATGGCATATATAAAAAGACTCCTAACGGTAAACACTGGCAAAGATGTGCAGAAAGAGCGACCCTGTTATACTATTGGTTGGAATGTTTAAAAGTGGTGCTGCCATTAAGGAAAGTAATCTGGATTTACCTTAAAAAATTAAAAAAAAAAAACCAAAAAACACAGTATGTCCCAGCAATCTTGTGTCTTATGAATATGAAACCATCAACTCAGAAAAAATAGCTTTATTAAGGTGCTTCAGTGAGAAAGAACTGAATAAGCACCATTACACAATATTGTGGGAAGTGTCATCTGTAAAGGAGTTCACTAGTTCACCGAGAAGGAGGATTTCTGAAAAAGATTCATCCTCACCTAGGGAGGATGAAGAGAAAACATTGTCCTGGAGAGGGAAAGGAATTAAGGTTTATTCTTCTTAGGGGAAAAGAGTCAGAGTCTTGAGTGTTACAAAATATGATGCAGAACAGATTGTAGCATGTCAGGTTTGGAAGGGGTAAGGGGGAGATGATTTTTTTTCATTGAGTCAGATCTTTGTACCTCCCACAGTTCCCTACTCCACCTCTAGAATTTACTTTCTTCCAGGGCTTGCTTTCAGATGAGTAGTGTACTCCTGGTAGGGATGCCTTAGCAATTTTGGGAGAGTACTATTGTCAGAGCATTTGGTGGACTTCTGGAAATGCTGGAAGGCAAACGTTTCCGAGGCTTTGCATCACAGTCCTAGGAAAAGAGTCAATTGCATCAGAGGCTTCAGAGTACTTAAAGCTTGAGGTCACTCAGAAACTCCTGGTGTCAGGCAGCTAAAGCTGGGAGGGTGCACCTAAAGAAAATGAATGGCTAATATAGCCTAGACTTGCTAGAGCCTAGGAAGCCAGGGGAGAGCCAATAAACGTCCATAGGGGAGGAAGGCAGTCCTTTACCCCAAACTACAACCAGGTTGATGAACCCAGGGAAAGCAAGAAACAGGAAAGAGAGAAAGGCAGACCCTGTTGTCACGGCTGATAAAACTACCTGGGAGCACAGTAGAAGGGGGAGTTACTTAGAAACGCCTGCCTGAACCGGTAAGCCAACAATCAAGAGTGCCTGCACAGTATACCCCAAAAAGGAGCAGTGAGCAGCCTCTTTCACTCTGGGTACGCAGGAGTCCCTTGCCTTTCTTTGCAGTTGTTCTGCCCTGGACTCTGTGCTCCTGGCTCTTTTCCCTGGTGAACTCTCTCTAACTAAATTCCTGGTGTTGCTTCTACAGATCCTGCCTTCCCAGACCTCTGCCCAGATGTGCTTTTTGTCTCTAATAAATTTGTTTCACCTACATGCAGCTGATTTTGTCCATTTTCAAGGACCAAGGAAGCCCAAATTCCGCGAATGATAGTATTCTGAGTGGGGGCAATGTTAGAAATTCTTTTTCTACTGCCCTGTAAGAAATGATCACAAACTTAATGATTTTTAAAAAAGATAATTACTTTTCCCCCCCCTAGACCAAAAATCTAGACAGATCAAACAGTTCTCTGTCAGGAAATTATAAGGCGGAAATTAAGATGTTGGATGGGTGAGGCTCTCATCTGTGACTCTGGAATCTGCTTCCTGTCTTATTGGGTTCTGTACAAAATCTAGTTCCTGTGGTTTCTTCTGGTTCCTAAGTAGATGTGAAGAGACTGATTCACTGCTGGCTCTCAGGGGGAGGTCCTTTTCTTCTTGTAGAGGCTTCCTGAGTTTTCTCACATGGCCTCTTAACCTTCAAGGCCAGAAACCGTATCCGAGTCCATCTTGGATTTCACATCTTTGATGTTCCCTTTTGCTGCTACTGAGAGCAAATGTTGCTTTTGAAATCCTCAAATGATTAGATGAGGCCCATTCAGATAATTGTCATATTTTTAGGGTCAGGTGACCTGGAACTTTAATTTTTTCTGCAAAATTTCTTGCTAATGTACTTAGTGTTTCATTCAATAACCAGGAGATGGGACTGTTTGGGGGCAGGGGAGGAGACTATGCTTTAGAATCTTGCTTTACCAGTGTTACATGTAATTTTTCTCTGCTATTTTGACTTCATATTATATGGAACATAAAACATTCATTGATGAAAATTAAAATATTTGAAAATTTTAAACTATTCCTTAAAATTGATTGCCTGGGAGAAATTTATGCCTATAATGGGTTGTGATTGCAGCTGAATGATAACTCTTAATAAATTTATTGGCCACATAATACTATATAATACAGAATATGTTGTTGATGTTTCTCTTCTCGCTCAGAAATTGAAGTTTATATTTTTCATTTTTTTTTAAGATTTATTTATTTGTGCATACAGAACTGGGGTACAGGCCAGAGGCTCAGGGGTGGTGAGAGGCTTCACCAGAGACAGAGTGGGGAACAGAACAGGCAGATCGACGAAGTACACTGCTGAGGGGAGCAGCTGGTGGGTCAAGAGAGGTCTGCTACACCATGTGGTCACCTCCAGGGCAGATGGGAATCGAACTCATACTGAAGCAGCTTTTAGATTCTCAGTGCTGTGCTTTAACCCGCTGCGCCACCAGGGAGGGCCTATTTTACATTTTTGATGTGTATCTTTATGCTGAAATTTTCCTTTCATTTTATGGGTGTTATCTGAAGGGATTTTATTTACCTGAAAAGAGTGAAGATCTCTATATTGCTTCTCAAAAGGTTCTTTTTCTCCTTGAAGTAACATTGGTTCACCACAGTGTACATGAATTAGGGTAAGAGGTACTTAACCTCATCAGATGTTCATTGACACACCACGCCTGCCATGGAAGCACCCATGGTTCCCTAGGCCATTTGGTCCTGACACCCTTTGTTCCTAGGTATTCTTTCCTGAACTCACTCTCCGTCTAGTCACTTCTATTTTGAAGTCCTATTTCTCATGTTTGTTTGGTTTAGTTTTGTTGGGTCCCCTTTCCTCCCCTCTGTCTTCCAATAATAGAATCAGCTGTTATTTGTCTTTCTCCCTCTGACTTATTCATTTAAGCATATTATTATTATTATTATTATTATTATTAATAGCATAATCCCCTCCAGTTCCATCCATATTATTGCAAATGGTAACAGTTAATCCTGTGTATGTGTGAATGTCTGTAAAACTTAGTACTCCATTATGAATAAATAGCATCTCTTCTTAATCTACTGCTCTTGTTGATGGACATTTAGGTTAAAATGTTAGTTTATCAGACAGTAGAGCAATTATACATGTTTAATAGTATAAATAATACTGCTAACTATGTTAAGTGTATTATATTCACTCACAAAATTTCAATTGCCCTGTAACTGCTTAGGATGTAGTTGGGACTTTTATGGACTGAGAGAAAATATTGCTGGATAAAACATACATAGTTACAAGCTAGTTGGACTACTGGTTTAAAAAATATTTTTAAGGCTTCTTGGACCACTGTTTGGTTCATTGGCCTAGTTATTGCAATTTTGTCTTTTCATACAAGGGTTTTCCTGTCAGGCCCTTTCATATTGCCTGTGTATTTATCTTTGAGCCATGTTTCTATCCACAGACCACTCAGTTGGGTTGCAGAGGTGTGGGATTTATGTGTGTTTCCCTCATTTGGATTATAAGCTAGGTGGGTTTTCGCCTTAGATGTGTGGTAGAGATATGTACACACACACACTTGTTTTCAAAAGACAGTCTACCAACTAAAATGATTGCCATTTATAATTCACTGTGGAAAGGAACTCTCTTTATTATTTTATATTTTTAAGTTAATTTCTGTGAGATATGCATGTTGTGATATTTGTGATACCATAATTATATTCATATTGCCAATTTTAAATTTATTATTAATCATTGTAATGAAAGCTATTTTAGCTGCTCCCAGGGGAGATTTTAGTTTGTGCTGAGATATATAAGAGCTGACTTTGAAATTTGATCAAGCTTGAAAAACTATTTTCACAGAAGTTTCTTTATTAGCATACAATTTAATATTTAAGTTAGGTGATTTTTTTCTACCTTATTATTTATTAGATTCAAGTAATATCTATTTGAAAAAGAAGTAATTGAAACAATATGTGGTCCCGATGGTACAAAGTCAGCAGAGCCATTAATACTAATCTGTTTTCTAAAAATTATTCATACTAAAGGAATAGTCATAAATCTTTCATCTTTAATATTTTTAAAAGGCAAGAGGAGCAGACGTTCCAGAGATTCCTGGAGACCTTACACTTAAGACATGTGGCAGTACAGCAAGTATGAAGGTTAAGCATGTGAAAAAGTAAGTATAATTTTACAATAGGTATAAAAACAAATTCCTATAAATCACCTCCTTTGCTCTCTTAAAACTTTCATTTAGATTCTTTACTAAGTAAGCTCCTACTGTCCATACATTAACTTACATTATTAAGATCCAACTTAGGTCTCAACAGTTGGAATAGTAGGTCTGAAGATTATCTGCATGTTTAAAAATATACTGTGTTTTTGTTCTCCTAACAACGTTATATCATTATTAATTTTGTAATTATTTAACAGGAGCATATATGTATATCCTTTTGGGTACTATTAATACATACTTACTTATTTAGAAAAATCAGCTTTGTTGACCAAGGTATGAAATTTCTAGCTATATATCTCAGCTCTGCCTTTGGGGAATCCTAAAATGGATTTTAGTAGTTGATCTAAATCTCTGAAGATACTTATTTCAGTTTTAAACAGACAAAGCATCTTTTCATCAGGTATAGAGTTAGGTAGTTATATTTCATTATAAACAGAGAATAGACAAAGATAAAAATGTTTATTCTGCATCCAGACCCACCAATCCAGGACTGATGGGCTGTGACAACATTCACAGGTAAAATCTGGTTTTGTGTTTTGTGGTGGGAATGCTGCTTCTGATGAGGAGCTGGCTGTTTACAATCAGACGCCATAACATTTATTACCAAAAGCATAGCTTTTCTGTGGTCATTGACTTGGATCACAGTTAGGAGAGTATAGTGATGCTTAAATTTTTTTTTCCATTTTGCCTTATGCACCGAGTGTACTGTTCATTTGGTCAGTGTATTTCTGAAAAGAGTTGTGTGGAGATATGTGTGCTCACACGCATGTGCTGCTTAAATAGTTTTGTTTTTTGCATGAGCTCTTTAATCTCTGGTGTTTCCCCCAGGCTCAATAATTTTGGCTAGTCCAGTAGCTTGTATCTCATTTATTTCATTTACTTCAGGTTACCCTTCACTAAAGGTCACTTTCCGAAGATGGCTGAATGTGCACATTTCCATTATGAGAACGTCGAGTTTGGCAGCATACAGGTATGTTTGAAATCCCTCCCACATGCTGAAGTAAGATGTCTCTCTGGACCTATCTGACAGGTGACACTCCAAATCAGTTTTTACTGTTTATGTTTCATTGGTACAAACGGACTTTGTAGACTATTGCACGATATTTTATGACTCTTAGTTCAAGTGGAACCAGTGTAATAGAATAATTGTAAATCTCAGAAGTTTGATCAGATTCCTAGACAGTTTGATAGAGTGTTTTACAGAATGAAGTACTGTCACCTGGTTCGTGTGTTGAGTTGTAGTAGTGAAGGGTGAGTCAGAGTCAGGGTGAAGGGAGAAGTGCAAAGAGATTTTTTCAATATTTTTTCTTAGTATATTATGTGTATATGTTATAAAATGTATCTGTATACACATGTACACTATACATATATACATATATATATATATACACACACACATCCACCACTTGAAATTCACTTCAAAAATTAGGAGAGAAATTTCCTCTGTGTCCTTCCTGTGTTGTCTTTGTTTTCCCTACCCCAAAGATTACTTAAGTCATAATTTTTGTAATACTCATTATGTTTTTTATAGCTTTATTTTCTGTATGCATCCCCTATCAGTATGGTGTTTAGGCTTGCCTATTCTTGAACTTTATGTAGCTGCAATTAGTCTTATTCTTTCAGGAAACATTTTACTAAGAAAGTACCATGCTCCAAGCATTTTTTTTAGGTGTTTTGACCATTTGCAAATAGTAATGGAAAACATTACCATTCTTAACTTGCATACAATGTAGCCAAAAAGATAAGAGCTATGAAAAAAAGTGAATCAGAGGTACAGGAGAATGCTGGAAAAATAGTGAACCAGAATAGACTTCTTTCTTACTTATTTAACATCATGAAATTTATCCCTGTAGGCCCATGTAGCTACTTTTTGTTTAGTTTGTTTATTGCTCTCTATTAATCCATGATCACAGTTCATCCATTTGTCACAAAGCATATGACACAATCTAGCCATTCTTTTTTTTTTTAAATAAAAAAGGAAATTTAGTTTAATGGGAAAACAAACCAAAATATCTGAAAAAACAATTGGAATTGGCTAACTCCTTAAAAAGAGTTTTCTATCTCTTGGTGACTGCATTTATTGGAAGGGTTTGAGAAAAATAAAAATGTTACTTAGAGTGGAAAAAATCTTGGGTCATTTCTTAATATAAAAATTTATGCAGGTTTTTTCTTTTGAATATCTTGTACATTTAAAGAGGCAAGTACACAGTCTGCTACTTTTCATATGGGACAGATTCTTTGTTTTTGCCAGCTCTCAGTGGAGGAGCAGCTAGTACTGTACTATCTCTCTGGACAAGGGGCACTGGGATATTCCATTTGGTTGATTTATAGACCTCTTCATAGGTTTCTTCATCAATTTCTATAGTAGTCACAATTTCTTCCACATCTCCCTATATCACGTTTCAGTATTGATCCTAAGAAAGTCTTTTTAGATGTCACCTATCTCTTACTGTATTTCCATTTTGTTCATACAATATTTTCTTGACTTTCTCTAAATCTTTCTTTAGTTTTTTAAGACTACTTTAAAAAAGAAATCTTTTCCTAGTAGAGCTATCATTATGTCTATTTTAGTAGAGTTTCTGTTTATTTATTTTTGTTGAATAGGCTATTCTTCTCTGTTTCTTTGTATGCATTTTGATTTGGGCATCTGAAAACATACCTTGGTAATTCTGGAAATAACCCCTCCCCCCCCCTTTCCCCCCATGATTTGCTGTTGTCATGTTACTGTTTTCCTCATTGTAGGTAGACTTGATGCCAGAGATCAGCCTGAGGAGTAAACGTAAATTCTTCTCAGATGTTTTATCGACCTGTGCCTTTCCTCGGTTACATATGATCAATTTTTAATTTTACTCATACATCCACTTGCTTTTTAATTTATTGAGGTAATGTTCATTTAGATTATTGTTGATATTTTGGAAGTACAACATCTAGTCTATAATGTTTGATCTCTAGTCTATAAAGGAGAAAAAGAGAAAAAGGAGAAAAAGGAGAAAAAGAGATAGAGAGGTATTTAATTGTTGGAGAATTTTGCAATAGAATGTGTAGGTTAACAATAATGGTCACTGGCCTCTTCATTTTGTACCTCTGAGATCAGAAGCAGAAATTCACTATTAGAAGACATACCCTTGGTGTTTGGATGACTGGGTCCTTTTTGCCTTGCTTGGCTTCCACAGGCTAATCTTTGAACAAATGCACTCACATTCTGAGTGGTTGGAGATTGGTGGTGGCTACTGTGCTGAGGACTAGAATCGACCAGAACGAACAGGATTTATCATGCATGCCTTTTATTGGCAGACACAGCTTTCAATAGATTCCATAGTTAAAAATAATTCTATCAGGCAGGCTTGGTTAGTGAATGTAGTGTCTAGGTGTGAACAGATTCCTAATGCTTCCCATTTCATTTTCTCTCTAGAATCTTTCTTTTCACTTCCTTATTTTTCTATAAGATTGGTAGTTCATTCTGACAAGAAAATGAACAGGGAAACTTGGTGAATTGTGTCTGGAAGAGGGCATCCCTCTTGGCAGCCATGATATATATCATTAGGTAATTTATGCTGTCATTTGACTCAGTTGTTGCCTTTAGTGTACGTGTCCATTGTGGAACATTCTAGTCACATATTTTTGCCTCTTTTCATCCTGATCTTAGAAATTTCTGCCCAACTTTCACATTTCTTATGTACATATTTATAACTCTTTCTACTCAGATGCTGAAATTTTATCATTCCAGTAGGGCATTGAATCTGGAGGATATCACTATTCACTAAATTTTTAAAAAAGCTAAATAAAATTATCTTTAGGGCTTTCAGTGATGCTTCTCAGTTTTATTCAAACTGAAAGATACAGTTGCTCTTAAAAAGATGTAGATAGAAATAATTTGGGCCAGTGATATCATTGCCATGTATCATACAAAGGAAATTTTAATAATCTTCCTTTTAATTTCCAATGTTGCCTATCCAGCTGGCTTCTCTGCATCTTCACTTGGTGACTAATAAGCATATTAAATTTAGCATGCCTAGCACAGCCTCCTCTTAAACCTGCTCCTCCTGCTGTCTTTTCCATGTTGGTAATAACAGCTCTTCATCTTTCTAAGCTTCCAATCACGGCTTTGTCTTTCTGGTGACCAGCCCCCACTCAGGGTCATCCGGGAATCCACCCAGAGTCATCTTAGTGTTAAGGAGAACAAAAGATGCTCCTAGTGCTTTTATCATTCAGGAATTTGCAAGGATTTCAGGAGCTCTGTTCCAGGTTTGGAAGCAGAGACCAGTATGTATTTTCTGACATCTCACATATTGTTATCAACATTATATGTTTTTATATTAATTACCATTTTTCATTTTGATTTACTTTATTCATTCTTCAGTATTCCTAAGCTATCAATACCTTTTTTGTATGGGTATACCTTATTTACTTCTGCAGAATGCAGGATAATAGCACAGTAGTAAATGCTCAGTAATACTCTTGAAGGGAAGATACATGATGATCATGATTAGGTATGTTGGGGAGTGATTCATTTTACAGACACTTACTGATTGTACATTTGTAATGTTATTCTATCTCTTGAGATGCTCCTGCTTACATGGAGGAAACCAATATCTGAAAGGATAATTAAAACATAAATGTTAGAAGCAAGATATGTCAACTTGAGGTTCATTTCATGTGTTCATTTACTTGTACATATATATATTTTCAACAAGTATCAGGAAATTAGCTTTGTTTTGAAGCATGAGAAAATGCTATGCATAGGAGGTGATGTCTGACATTTTAGAGTAGAAGTTCACTGAGTAGAGATTGGGGCATCATGAACAAAAGCCAATTTTCACAAGGGCTTTATACATTATATCATTATATATAGTAAAAAATTAGAAATCAGAATTTTTACAAGTAGGGTTGAGTTATGTAAGTTATGGACTATTTATCTAGCGAAAATGTTGTACAATCACTAAGAGTCAAAGAATATTTGTTGAAGAGGAAACAATATTTATGTTATATAAAAATTGATAAAATGAACCCCAAAAGAGGAAGACACATTTCTGTAAAACAACAATTTATATGTAATTATAAAAATAATTGGAGGAACTTGTAGGCAAAAGATAATAGTTACAATTTTAGAAGGAATGAATTAATATGGTCAGAAAAATGACTTCCATCTTTAAAGGTGAGGGCAAAAAGTGTGATATTTTAAAGATTTATTTATTTATGCATACAAGAACTAGGGTACAGGCCACAGGCATGGGAGGTGAGAGGGTTTACCAGAGACAGAGTGGGGAACAGAACAGCAGATTGACTGAAATACACTGCTGAGGAGAGTAGTGGGACAGGAGAGGTCTGTTGTACCATGTGGGCCAGCTCCCTGGCTGGGAATTGAACTCATGCTGCACTGGCTGTGGATAGCTTCATAGTGCTGTGTTTTAACCCGTTGAGCCACTAGGTAGGGCCCAAGTGTGATATTTCTTTCATAAAAGTTTGTAAAACAAATTTTCTCCCTTATTTGAACGACTGAGTGGTTCTTAAATCATGTATTTTACCTTTTGAGGGCAGAGTAGGCACTGAGCATCCTTGGGCATTCCCTTGTTTCCAGTTTAATTTGTACCAGAGAAAGTAATTCCCAGGCCCATAGATACTTCTGGTGGATTGGTAACATACACTTTAGATTGCACAGGTGTTTTCAACCTTGTTCAGCTCACTTCTAGCAGACCTTAAGCAAATTATCTAACTTCCCTGTTCAAATCTCAGTTCAGCGACTTCAGTTGTAATATGTTATTGTCCTGCTGAGAAATGATGGATATATGGTGTAGAAAGGGTGTGGCTAACTGGTAGGATCTTGTCACTTCACTCTCCTGACTACTATGGAGATTGCCAATACTTGTTCTTGTTTTCCTTATCTTCCTGTTGAAAAGGATACATAATGTGTTATACCCATTCCTGGATACCTGAATATGCTAAGACAGCTAATGTTCTTAATTACTAAAA